TATATATTCCATTTAAAAAATGTTTAAATAATTTTATTATTTATTATTATAAAAGTTTAATATAATTGAAAACAATTTATTTGCGATAGTAAATAAATGTATATGTAAAAGTTATGAGAAGCAGATCATTTATACACAGAATATAATTCTCTATACACGGCGACTCGCTAGCGCGCCACGCGCAATTTGTTTAAACTTCGATATTTTCTAAACTTTTCAATAAATCAATTTGAAATTTTTCAGAAAACATCTTTATACATTGAAGAACAAATGTCTCACTGGAAGTTCTTTTAATTCGAAACTTCCCCACTGACTTTTTGTCGGCGAAGGTAAGAAAATGTGATTGCTGGTAGATCATTAATAATAATTAAATATTATTAAACAATTAATAATTTTTAAGTTTTTTGATATGTTATCGTCTTCTATAGACCCTAACGAGTTTGTATATCAAATACCGATTAATTTTATCAATATTTGTCTTAACTACGATGATTTATGTTTTAAAATTGAATGAAAAATAAAAATAAAATTTTTTTGTTTTTTGCACTTACTATTTAAACTAGTTGTCCTATAAAAAAAATTCAAAGGAAAAAAAGATGCGCCTCTTTATTTTCTATAATGTAGCACTTTTTAAAATTCAAAATTTCAAACTTTAATTTTATCGGCATTTGGAACTCTTGACTGACAATACAGCGTGCAGCGGAGCGTCACATCGAGTTCTTCTTCCCATCCGCTCAATTGTATAATATAGAAAAAGATAGCACTTTCGAAACGATCATTTTTTTGCTGTTTAGGAAAAATTGTATTAATTTTACGCATCTTTATTTCTTATTTATGGGATTATAATTTTTTTCGAAATCCGTTATATTTATTGCTTTATTTTTGTGATTTATTATTTTTTTAACTTTCGTTTTTCTAGTAAACATTTATTTAAAGCAGATATGATTTATTTGAGTTAAATAAAAGTATATCTGTGTCAGAACCTACTGAATTATTTGAATTAAATATAAATTTTTTTCGAGATAAATACAATTTTTATTTGAATTAAATAAACATTCTTTGAAATAAATAAAATTTACTTGAAAACAATAAAATTTCTTCAAAACAAATAAAATTTACTTAAAACAATAAAATTTCCTTGAAACAAAAAAAGCACTTGAAACAAATAAAATGTATTTCAAGCAAAGAAAATGTACTTGAGACAAAAAAAATTTCTTTGAAACAAATAAAATGTTTTTTTTAAACTAATAAACTTTTTTTTTAAACAAATACAATTTATTTGCAACAATAAAAATGGGTTTGAAACAAAAACATTTCTTTGAAACAAATAAAATGTGTTTTAAACAAACAAACTCTTTTTGAAACAAATACAATTTATTTGAAACAAATAAAATGTTTTTTAAACTAACAAACTCTTTTTGAAACAAATATAATTTATTTGCAACAATGAAAATGCATTTTGAATGCAATAAACTTCTGGGTGGGAATTATATCAAGATAGTAAAATTTTATTTTGACAATAATAATTGAACTTTAGAGAATAAGCAAATTTATTTATAATTAAATTAATGCAATTTATTTAATTAAATTAAAATGAAAAATTTCAAAGGTTTTTAATAATTTTTTTTCAAAATTTGAATTCACGTGGAAAAATAATAATAATTTATTGAGTATTTATTTTGTTTAAAAATTACAAATTTATTTATTTAAAAAATAAAGTTCCCAGAGCTAATATCCCAGAACAAATATTTACATAAAATTTAGTTTTCAAATTTTAACAAATGATTACTACTCAAAATTGATAAGAATAAAAAAATACCAAAAATTAGATAGTAAATTAAAATAATTATAATACAAGGTAAAATTAAATTAATATTGTAAAAAAATAAAAATTTTACGTGTTATTCGGAAATACAAGTAAATTTTATTTAAAAAATTACAATAAAAAAATTTATTTGATTCAAGTAAATATTTATTTGACAATAGAAAAATAATCGGTTATTTGAATCAAATCTATTTTTTTATTTAAGTAAATTAAAATTGTATTTGAGCCAAAATTTTTAGTATTTGAAGCAAATACCATTTAATTGATCCAAATAAAAATTAGTTGATTCAAGTAAATATTTAGTTAATAGTCAAATAATTGGTTATTTGAATCAAATCAATTTTTTTTAAGTAAGTAAATTAAATTGTATTTGACCCAATAATTTCGGTATTTGAATCTAATAAATTTTTTTTTATTTAGGTAAATTAAATTGTATTTGAGTTAATGATTTCAGTATTTGAATCAAATACCATTTAATTGATCCAAATAAAAATTATTTGTTTCAATTAAATATTTATTTAATAGTCAAGTAATCGGTTATTTGAATCTAATAAATTTTTTTTTATTGAGGTAAATTAAATTGTATTTGAGTCAATTATTTCAGTATTTGAATCAAATACCATTTAATTGATTAAAATAAAAATTATTCGATTCAAGTAAATATTTATTTAATAGTCTCAAGTAATCGGTTATTTGAATCAAATATATTTTTTTTAATTTAAGCAAATTAAATTGTATTTGAGCCAAAATTTTTAGTATTCGAAGCAAATACCATTTAATTGATTCAAATAAACATTATTCGATTTAAGTAAATATTTATTTAATAATAGACAAGTAATTCTTTATTTGAATTAAATAAATTTTTTTCAGTATAAAATTATAGTAGTAAAATTATTTATTACTTCAATATTTTTCGGAAGCCATAAATTATTATATAAATAAAAGATGTTTAAATTATTATTTATTTAAACATTTTTGCCAAGTTGTCAAAATAATAAGTACTCCAGATAATTATTTGTATTTAATCAATTTCAGGAAATTTTTCTGGATTATTTATTATTATTTTCTACTATTTTTTAATAATAATAATAAATAAATTTTTAAATAATAATATCTCTGCCCCAGCAGAGTTAGTCTCACATTTTTTCATTGTTTTAAATTTATTTTTCAATATTATTATTATTATTATTATTATTATTATTATTATTATTATTATTTTAGTGAAATTTGGATTGTACGAGTGAAATATTTGCGATTAGATATCAATGAAAATTATTATTGACAATATTAATAAATAGTGGTAACGACACTTGTATTATCAATAAAGATTCTCATTGTGATTCGTAAATTGTACGGCAATATATCTATATAGGTGTAATATAACAAGAAAAGTCTTGCGCTCGTTGCGAGTACCGCGAGTCGACCCTCGCGTAAAGTCGGAGTGCGCGCTCTACACACCAACTCTCGACAGTCTGCTGTTGACCATTGAAAGCGAGGGATCGTGTATCGTCTTTCCTTTTTCTCCCATGTCACGAGTCTTTTACTCTCGCCGCGCATTTTTTGACTGACATTTCCATCATTTCTCCATTTTTCATATTAACATTTTGAAAACAATTTTTCTCATATACATTAAATCAAAAATTTCATTAAAAATTACATAAAAAATTAAATCATCTCTTTTGGACACATCATCATTGTAAACGGGGATTATACCTATTTCTTCTAATTTGTGTAATGAAAAATAATTTAAGTGAATAAATAATTTAAGTGAATATAAAAAAAATGTTTTACAAAACAAAAAAGTATTTTAGGTGTGTAAGTTGTTGTGAATAATTTTCGACAATAATTGAAGGTCGTTGGTAGTTTTTTTATTGTCAAAGTGGGTCATCTCGCCGGTTAATGATTTAAAGCAAGTGTGGTGTGTATACTTTCGAGGACCTCGGGAGATACTGATCGTAATTCTTTTAACACGAGACATTTATGTTTTGCCAGTGTCAACGACCGCTCGTTACTGTCGTACCAATCGATCCCTGTTCTATCGACTGCGCGTGATTTTTGCGTAAGGTATTCTCTTTTATATGTGAAAAATAAAAAAATATATCTTCCAAGTTGATTGACTCGTTGAGTCACAAGTCTGTCGATAGAGTATTATTATTATTACTCTATACGTGTGTGGAATGTATTCATTTACAATCGCTCTCTTTCTACCCTGAGATAAATCAGTGTGCTTATTTAATTCTTCGAACCGTGCATCCCGTTTCAAAACAAGCATCTTTTGTCTACTCTCAAAGTGTCATTGTTTTAACTCTGCTGCAACTTCTCTTTTTTCAAGTGGACTATTAAAGTCTATTTGATTTGCGGGGGACAAAAAGAAAACAAAAACCTATTAGAGTCGAAAAAAAGAAAGTTCGCAATTGGATTATTTAGTGAATGTTCCAGAAAAAGTGTTGCACAGTTTCTATTGAGTGGTTCTGAAGATCGAAGAGGTGAAGAAAGAAAGAATTTAGTATTTTTGAGAATAAACAGTGAAGAAAGAGAGAATTGAGTGTTTTGAAGAATTAAAAGCGAAAAAGGTCAGAATTTTGAGCGTTTTGAAGAACCAAACAGTGAAGAAAGAAAGAATCGAGTATTTTGAAGCTAGAAAAAAGTGAAGAAAGAAGGAATTGACCATTTTGAAGCTAATAAAAAGTGAAGAAAGAGAGAATTGAGTGTTTTGAAGAATCAAACAGTGAAGAAAGAATAGAGTATTTTGAAGCTAGAAAGAAGTGAGGAAAGAAGGAATCGAGCATTTTGAAGCTAACAAAAAATAAAGAAAGAAAGAATCTAGAAAACAGTGAAGAAAGAATCGAACATTTTGAAGCTAACAAAAAGTGAAGAAAGAAAGAATCTAGAAAAAAGTGAAGAAATAAGGAATCTAGAAAACAGTGAAGAAAGAAAGAATCTAGAAAACAGTGAAGAAAGAGTGAATCTAGAAAAAAGTGAAGAAAGAAAGAATCTAGAAAACAGTGAAGAAAGAATCGAGCATTTTGAAGCTAATAAAAAGTGAAGAAAGAAGAATCTAGAAAAAAGTGAAGAAATAAGGAATCTAGAAAACAGTGAAGAAAGAAAGAATCTAGAAAACAGTGAAGAAAGAGTGAATCTAGAAAAAAGTGAAGAAATAAGGAATCTAGAAAACAGTGAAGAAAGAGTGAATCTAGAAAAAAGTGAAGAAAGAAAGAATCTAGAAAACAGTGAAGAAAGAATCGAGCATTTTGAAGCTAACAAAAAGTGAAGAAATAAAGAATCCAGAAAACAGTGAAGAAAGCAAAAATCCAGAAAACAGTGAAGAAAGCAAAAATCCAGAAAACAGTGAAGAAAGAAAGAACCTAGAAACCAGTGAAGAAAGAAAGAATCCAAAAAACAGTGAAGAAAGAGAATTTGATTTTGAGGAGCCGAAAGTGGAGAAGGAAATCGGGCCAGTTGAGTGAGCAAGATAGATAGGAAAAGGAGAGTGTCGGGGAGCAGAGTGCCAGAGACGGAGGAGCATGGTTCGCCGCGTGGAAAGGCAATTGGTACCAGTAGTAAAGCAAGAATGTTGACTGCCCGTTCAGGGCCTCTTGGGCTCGGAGTGCCTCGAACCCTGGGGCCCGCCGAGGGTAGCGATCATCTTTTTCTACTGCCGGAGAGAGCCCTCGGCATGGACACAACCCACCTTCGACAGGACTTGGCAGGACTTGACTTCAACCTTCACCTCAACCTACTGCACACTGCGCCCAAGGGCAACGTATGGCTATGTAAGTTCGGCTCTTTTAGACACTAAAATTAAATTCATTACTTAAAAATTCCTCACTTCAAAATTATACAATTTTTTTTTTGTGACTATTTTTTTTAAAAGAAGCTGAAACTGACACCTGTAATTAATTTTGGAAATTTTATTTTAATTGGGCAACCACTTATAGTTTTGGAAATTAAATTTTAAAGTTGGTATTTTTTTGTTTTCAACAAAAAAAAATATTATACACTTAATTTTGGAAATTATATTTAACTGGCACCTAATTAATTTTGGAAATAAAATTTTAAAGTTAATTTTTTTTTGTTTTCAACAAAAAAATTATTACGCTCTTAATGTTGGAAATTAAATTTTAAAGTTAAATATTTTTTTTGTTTTCAACAAAAAAAAATATTCAACTTTAAAATTTAATTTCCAACATTAAGAGGGTGCCAGTTAAATATTAATTAAATTATATATTTCAGTAGAAGAAATTAAAAAACGTAGAAAAAACTTGTATATTTATTATAAATAAGGTAATTTTGTTTTTGTTTAATTTTTTGTTTTTTTGTTTATTTAGTTCCTTAATTTTCATTTACTTATTTTTATTGTAGTGTTTTTGTTATTTTCAAAGAACTTAAAGTTTGGAACGTTCGAATTAACGATCGTTGTTTTGATACTATCTTCAAAATTTAAATTTTATCACAAAATTTTATTTTTAGTTTAATTAATTTGAATTTGAATTACTTTAATTAATTAATTTCAATTTTACTTAATTTAATTAATTGTTTCAATGAATTTAATTAATTAGGTTCTTTAATTAATTGCTTTAATTAATTGCTTTAATTAATTACTCTAATTAATTGTTTTAATTAATTACTCTAATTAATTGCTTTAATTAATTGCTTTAATTAATTGCTTTAATTAATTAGTTTAATAAATTAATTAACTAATTAATTTAATTATCAACTCAAATTAATTCTAAACGAAGTAAAAATTAGGTTTTTTTTTATTTTTCAATTTATTAAAAAAATTCATGAAAATATTTTTACTAAAAAACAGTTTTTTTCATTTGAACTTTCAAAATTTTTAAAGTTCAAATTTCTGAACGTTAAATTCTAAACGAAATTTATTTATTTCTTTTTTAAAATGAGATTTTCTAAAAAATTACGTAGAGTACAGTGAAAAAAAAATTTGATTCAAATAACTGATTAATTGATTATTAATTAATTATTTAATTGTTTAATTATCAATTTAATGTTTAATTGAATCAAATTAATATTTATTAGAGTCAATTAAATGGTTCAATTCAAATTTGCCTCAAATACTGAAATTTTTTGTTCAAATAAAATTTAATTGACTCCAAGAAATATTTTTTTAATTCAAGTAAATATTTACTTGATAATAGTCAATTAATCAATTATTTTAATCAAATAAATTTTTTTGTCATAAAAAAAATTTACAAAGTTTTTAAATGTGAAATGTATAATTTTTTTGGTGAGATAGATAAAAGTAGGTTTGTCCCAAAGTCTACTAAATTTATTTGTTTCGAGAAAAAATATTTATTTTTATTTATTTGTAGATTATTAATATTTATTTTATCGAACTTATTATTGTATATATTAGTTCCGAAAAGACGTTTATTTGTTTGAAAATAGTATTTACTTGTTTCGAGAAGACATTTATTTGTTTGAAAAAACATTTATTTGTATCGGAAAGACATTTGTTTGTTTAAAAAAAATATTTACTTGTTTAGAGGAGATATCGATTTGCTTCTATAATAAAATATTTGTTTGTCGCACAAATAATTTTTCGAAACGAGTAAAGTCAGAAATGGATTAAATTGAAAATAGATAAGTAAATATAAAATAAATAATTATATAAAACGGTTTTGTATACCGTAAAATTAAAACTTAAAATTAATAAAAACTTTTTTGTTTATTTATAAATAAAAAAAGTGAATAAATTATAAATAAAATTTAATAAAAATAAAACATGTTCCACAAGTTTTGAATATTAAAACGATCTATTTTTTTTCTTTTACAAATTTTACAATTAGCTACAATTTTTTATTAAAAATAATTAAATACTTTTAGTTTTATTTATTTATTTTTGCTTCCTTATAGAGGAAAGCAAAAGTATAAATATTATTAATGTATTTTTTTATTTAAAATTCAAATTTTACATTTAGAAACTTTATTATTAATTTTGTCGATAGTGACGCAAAAATTATTGATATAAAAATTTTATTTGAAAAATAGTAGTAAAACTAGTAGTAGTAAAACTAAAAAAGTACATTCTTTTTTTGTAAATAAGAATTTACTACTAATAATTAAAAATATAAGAACTATAGTTTCTTCATTTTACTCTCAAGTCCAAGTTTGTTGAGAAAAATTAAAACCTGGATAATATTCGATTGGTCAGTGCAAGTAGGTAAGAATCAATGAAACTTGGTTCAATTCTAAGAAGCCCTTATATTCCGTTCTCGATTGATTTTTATTGCTTTCTTTATTCTCTTTCGATTCAACATTCTCTGCATTTTTTTCTAGATTATTTCTCCTTTCTTATTTTTAACAATAATAATATTTATTTTAACAATAATATTTACTATTCACATTTATGTGTAGTAAATATTATTGTTAAAATAAATTATTAATTAATTATTAAATTTATTTACTATACACAATTATATTCATAGGAAACAATGATTATTGTTATTAAAAACAAACTATTGTATTGTTTATTTTAATAATACGATTTTATTACGTTTTTCCAAGAGATTCGAAAAGAGTATAATTTTTCCCCCTGGCGTAGTAAATATTTTTTTTCCGAGCATGTAGATCAGGTGTATAGATAGGAAATTTAACGTGTGTCGTAATTTTTTACATGATCGCTTTTCTATTATAGCAAAGAAGTTGAATTTAAATTTTGTCGGTGGCTATTATTAGTTTCAAAAGGAGAAGCATTTAATAAATGTGTCAATGTAGATTAAATTTAATATCGTAATTAAATATTGGAAAATATTCTATGACGTAATGTTTAAATTAATCTCGGTGAAAATCAATCATTTGACAACTTTCATAAATATTGAGCGGATTAATAATATCGCAAATTATTTGCTATAATTTAAATTAATTTAATTTTAATTCAATTATAAATTATTATTCTTTTTAATTTTAATTCTAATTTAATTTTAATAAATTAATAATTCTAATTCGGTTGTCTAATTCATTTTAATTTAATTTTAATAAATTAGGAATAATTTTAATTCGGTTTTTTAATTCAATTTAAATTCTTCAAACTTTAAAATATGTTTAAATTTTGGTGTTAGTTGACAATTGGATAATATTTTCTAGGCGTGAATAAATTGGTTTTCCGTTTTTTTTTCTTTTCTCCAAATGATGGAATTTGCAAGTGTTTTTTTTCTGCCATTTGTAATGATAATGTTAGAAAAAGGATAGTAAATCGTGTGGCTAAAATTGCTGTACTATATTTGGCAAAACTTTATACACGAGAATGCGACCTCGATTTATCAAGTGTCGCATCGACCTTCGCCTCTATTATACTACGTATTTTGAAATCTACAGATTTCCTTACTTTATTTTCCGGAATCCTTCACACAAAGTGGGTGGTCCTTTTATGAGTTCCATTGGAGTGACACGCGCGTATCGAGCAACTTATCTCAGATATATTATAAGAGATTAAATTCTATCTTGCGGATAGAAAATGTGTACGTTCTTCGGTTAGAATTTTCTAAAAATCCTTGAAGTCCTTTTTTTCTCTATCTCTCTCTCTCTCGAAATGTAATGAGAAATAAAATATCTCGTTTAGATTATGAACTTGGGTGTAATAATAGTGAATGAGAGTTTTTATATTGAAAATATGATCGTGATGATTTCAGTTAAATTTGTAAAAAAGTTGCAGCAGTGGTTTTTACTTTTAGTTTTTATTAATTTTTTTCGATTTTATTCGATTTTTCGATTGACACAGTTTAGGAAATTATTATTTATAAATAATTGGCGAGACAATTTGGATGCGCATTATTTTGAAAAAAAAATCCAAATCCAATGAATCGAATCTCGATGTAAAATTGTCTCTCTATTTTAGTGATTTTCACCTACATCCGGATGTAGTGCAATATAATTTTGTATTAGTTTAAAATTTTCCAATTCGAGGAAAATGGGAATGTTCCTTTGAAAATTAACTCGGCCAAGTCTGGAATCGAATATTGTTCTTGGAAAAAAGATGCGGAAAAAGAAAGGGATGCTGCGCATTTACAGTTGTGTTGATGTCCAATTACTGACTACAACTGACTTGATAGTCACAATTAAAGTTTCACTAGGATGTTTCTGTTTGAATATGTAGATCAAGGCTCGTTCTATTTACGTATATTTTATTGCAAAAAAAACAAAAAAAAAATGTTTTTAAATTACTTCTCTTTATCGGTATTTAGAATAATATAATTTGATGATAGCAGATTGTGCATAAAAATATTTTCAATTGCTTCACTTTATTTGTGGATCTACAAGTTTTAATTAAAGCAAAACTCGGTTATTTTATTGCTCTAGCTTTTATTATAATTGTACTTTCGTTGAATTATTAATTTAGTACAAAACTAAAAATTAGTTTCTTACTTTTATTTTTTTTTTATTTATTTACTTTTCTTATTTTTATTTATTTATTTTTCTTATTTTTATTTATTTACTTTTTTTATTTTTATTTCTATTTATTTACTTTTATTTTTATTTATTTACTTTTCTTATTTTTATTTTCTTTGCAAGTTCCAAATAGTTTAACTCGTTTTAATTCAAATAATTTTAACGCAAATTAATGTTTAATTTTTTAATGACAAACTAACATGAGAATTAATTATATATCAACCTTGGAAACGAGATTTGTTTCAAAAACGAAAATATCTTCTTAATTTTTTCTATTTTCTACAATTATAATTACTTTTTGTCTAAATCACAATTTAGATCCTATGATATGAAATATTGTTTTGTTGTATTTCGAAGAAATGAAAAA